TGATCAGGATGCCTGGCTGGCTCAGTCAGAGGAGCCTGCCACTCGTGATCTCAGAGTCTTGAGTTTGAGCTCCACATTGCATGTAAAGATTACTAAAAATAAATAAACTTTTTTTAAAAAAAAGGAATACTATGATTCTACTCCCATATTTATTTGTACATATTTGTATATATTGGTATATGCCAGAAGATGTGGAAAGATCAAACATTCTTGGGATGGAAAGTTTTACTTTCTTCCATTCTGTATTGCTTTTCCCTCCAACTTATCCTCAAGTTCTTGGCCAAAGTAATCCACTGAAAAGTAAAGTGCTTTCATGTCACTTCCATCTTTTTTTTTTTTTTTTTGAGATTTTATTGATTTATTCATGAAAGACATAGAGAGAGAATGGCAGAGACAGAAGCAGGCTCCCTACGAGGAGCCTGATGTGGGACTCGATCCCAGGTCTCCAGAATCCCGCCCTGGGCTGAAGGCAGCGCTAAACCACTGAGCCACCAGGGCTGCCCTAATGTCACTTCCATCTTAAAAGGTTTCATTGGTTTTCTAATACATTTAGGATCAAATCTATATGACCTACTCTGTCTTGCCTGGCCTGGCTCCCATCAAGCTCTCTGGCCATTCTTGACCTTCATTGGCTATCCTACAGCCACAGCTGCTTTCAATCCTACTAATGGGCCAAACTCTTGCTTGACTCTGCCAATGCTGTCAGAAAGCTCTTTTCTCTAGTCTTCCGAAGCTAGTTCCTTCTTAGCTCAATTAAAAGTCATCTCACAGAAGCTTTCCAGATCACTCTTACTAAAGTAGATCTCCTGGGTCGCCTGGCTGGCTCAGTCAGAAGAGCATGTGACTCTTGACCTCAGGGTCGTGAGATCAAGCCCCACGAAGGGGACAATAAAAAAAGTTATTCTTTTCAAAAATGTTATTTATACATAAGATAATGGCTTCCAAATTTCTCTCACCTGTGATACACAGTAAAAAAATAAGACTATTAACTGAAACAAAGGTTCACAAAATCATACATATCCTTGCTAAGGGAGCTGTACTTGGATATTTTCTAGTCTATGTCATAAGATAGCATAATCATTTTTTTTAAAGATTTTGCAAGGTGGGCAGCCCCAGTGGCGCAGCGGTTTAGTGCCGCCTACAGCCCAGGGCGTGACCCTGGAGACCCTGGTCGAGTCCCATGTCAGGCTCTCAGCATGGTGCCTGCTTCTCCCTCTGCCTGTGTCTTTGCCCACCCCCCCCCGCCTCTCTCTGTCTCTATGAATAAATAAATAAAATATTTTTTTAAAATGTTGCCAAGGTTTTGGGTTATCGTTCATGATTTCAATAAATTAAACTAATATCACTAATTCAAAAACGCAAAATTAATGTTAGGGTAAAGATAAATAATTCAATTACATTACCAATTCAAAATTATCACATTCAAACTCCAGAATAACATTATATCCATAGTTATTAAAAAAAAAAAAAAAGCAACTTACAGACAAGATTTTCAGATTAGGAACTCCTGTCTACAGAGGAACCTAAAAGTAATTTCAGATGGTAAAAAGAAGAATGAGAAGATGGGTCTTCCCATCTCTTTTTTCTTTTTTTAAGATTTTTATTTATTTATTTATTCATGAAAGACACAGAGAAAGAGAGAGAGGCGGAGACACAGGCAGAGGGAGAAGCAGGCTCCTTGAAGGGAGACCCATGTGGGACTCGATCCCGGGACTCCGGGATTATGCTGAAGGCAGGTGCTCAACCGCTGAGCCACCTAGGTGTCCCTTTTTCCTTTTTTTTTTTTTTGGATGGGTCTTCCCATCCCGTGTAATACCAAGTCAAAACCCTTGGTGCCATCTTTGACTTCTTCTGTCACTCCTCAAATCCAATGCATCATCAAATCCTATTGGCTCTACCACCAAAACACTTCCCGGGGTGCCTGGATGGCCCAGTTAAGTGACAAACTCTTGGTTTTGGCTCAGGTCATGATTTTCAGGGTTTTGAGATAGAATCCCACATGGTGTTCTGCTAAGACTCTCCTTCCCTCTCCCCTTGCCATCCCCCTGCCCACCCACACCTGCCAAAATAAATGAATCTTATAAAAAAAAAAAAAAAAAAAAAAGTCCACACATCCAAAACCTGATACTTCTTAGCACCCCTCACTGCCAAGCCTGGTCCAAGCCACTACGACCTCTTGCCCAATTACAGCAGCCTCCTACCTGGGCTCCTCAATTTTCCCTTTGTGATACAATTAAACCATTAAGTCACATCATGACTCCCCTGCTCCAGCGTGGGTTCCTATTCCAAAAGTCAAAATCCTTCCTAAAGCCTACAAAACTGGTATCTGTCCTCACTTGATTAAGCAGACCTCATCTCCTCCCATCCAGCCACTGTGGCCTCCCTCACTGTCTTCAAACACCAGACACACTCCTACCTCAAGGCCTTTGAACTTGCCCTCTCAGCCAGGAATGCTCTTCCTTCAAATATCCACACGGCTAGCTCCTTTAACTTCCTTCTGGCGTTTATTCTTGTCTTCTTCTTCTTCTTCTTCTTCTTTTCTTCTTCTTCTTCTTTTTTTTTTTTAAGACTTTATGTATTTACTCATGAGACACACAGAGACACAGGCAGAGGGAGAAGCAGGCTCCATGCAGGGAGCCTGCTGCGGGACTCGATCCTGGAACCCCGGGATCACGACCTGAGCCAAAGGCAGATGCTCAACCGCTGAGCCACCCAGGTGTCCTCTAGTCATCTTAATAAAACCAACTCTGGCCATCATATCTAAAATTCCAACCCTTTACCCTTACACCCTCACCCCTATAGACATCCACAGTGCTCTTCTTTGCTTTATTTTTCTTCTTAGAACCTATCGCTTCCTAAAATAGCATATTTTACAGTTACTCTGCTTATTGTCCACTCCCTGGAGACTAGTTTCCATGAGGGCATAAATACAGCTCTCCACTGTGTATCCTAAGCACCTAGAGCAGTATCTGACACGTAACAGGCACTTGATAATTATTTGAACGAGCAAAAGAATGAAGGAATGGGCTTGGGATGAACTAGAAAATCGGAACAGAGACGACAGAACAGGTAAGAACAGCTAAGGGCAGATAAACATCTGTGGCGCAGGCTTCGTGGGCAGCTCTGGCACACCTGCAAGTGTGAACCCCCCTTAGCAACCACTACTCAAACCTGAAATAAGGGTCCACTCCAGGCACTGAGTGTTCCTTCCAAGTTGATTATGTATTCTAAATCAGTCAAGAAGAAATTTGGGGGCAATGGAAGCACAAAAACATTACCTACCATTATGAACTATGCTTTAACAGGCTACAACCCACAATTTTAACTTAAAATGAGGCATATGCCAAAGGACTAAACTAAGGCTGGAATTCTGAAGAAATGCTCTGTACATAAGAGAAATCAAGGAATCTATCTAAACCAGATTCTGCTACTCATCAATTGCCCAGCCAAAATCTCTGTGAACCTGTTTCTCATTCTGTTAACCTAACAATCACTACATCCAAGTCACTCTCAACTAGTGATCCAAGGATGAAATAAAAGGGGAAATACTTTTAAGGTGCCTTTTAAAAGCATAAAAAGCCATACAAGACACTAAACTCTAAGATGTTTCCTGGCCATGACGATGATTTATTAAAAACAATGTCCTTTTGGGAAAACTTTACATTTCAAAACTTTTTATAGATTTACGAATCAGAACGTAGAAAAAAATATTTTACTGGTACATTTGATTCACAGAAATAACTAACGGAAATTAAGTTTTTTCTCAGGTACAAGGTTACATTGCACAGGAATTCCCAAGGAATTTACTACAAGATTATTAATCTATTACTCAAAGTGATACACACTCAAAATTGATATATGTTAATGTGAATACATGTAAGTACCACAAAGTCTCAGGAGCTGAGTGGGTGGAGTGTCTGTCTAGGAGTAAGAGGGAACTTTCCTGTGTGATGGAAATGCTCTGTCTTAACTGGGATTGTGATTACAGGAATATATTTGTCCAAATTCAATAAATTGTACATTTTAAATGCTCACAATTTTCGTATGTACGTACACCTCAATAAAGTTAGACAAAGTCTATCCTGCTTCCTTAAATTAAAAAAAAAAAAAATCACTCAGTGCACCAGGTCTCAAGAAGTTGCACAATGCAACAGGCTTGAAGATTTAACAAAGAGGAGGAGTCAACGGCCAGAAAAGTTAACTCATGACCTTCTGGCCTCAAGGTCAACTCCAATTAATAGAAGATAAAGGCAGCATAATGAAGGAGAGAAAGAAAGAAGAAAGAAAAGAAAAGAAAGAAAGAAGAAGAAGGAAGGAAGGAAGAAGGAAGGAAGAAAGAAAGAAGAAAGAAGAAAGAAAGAAAAGAAAAGAAAGAAAGAAAGAAAGAAAGAAAGAAAGAAAGAAAGAAAGAAAGAAAGAAAGAAAGAAAGAAGAAAGAAAGAAAGAAAGAAAGAAAGAAAGAAAGAAGAAAGAAAGAAAGAAAGAAAGAAGAAGAAAGAAAGAAAGAAAGAAAGAAAGAAAGAAAGAAAGAAAGAAAGAAAGAAAGAAGAGAGTCTCAGGGTCTTTTCAAGAAAACCAGAAATGAATTACTTCAGAGGGCGCAGTGGGAAGAGCACAGGCTCAGAGCCCTTCGGACCTAGCCTGGGATGGTTACAGGCTGTTAAACGTGTGACCTTGAGAGTCCTCCGTCTGAGGCTCAGTTTCCCTTTCTGTAAAATGGGGATGATGCTGGCCCCGCGGTCTGGGCTCGCGCACGGCCCGGTACTCGGTATGTGATATGCAATACATGACATTTACTGAAGCCTCTGGAATTTAGCGCCGGCTAGAAATGCATGCAGAACCGAGGCCCCTCGGCGTCGGTCCGGGGGAGCTGCGGCCGTTTCGCACGCCCCTGGCCCGCAGCCAGGCCGGACTTCCCTCCTCCTCGCCCGCAGCTCCTCGGGTCGGGACCACCCCTCACCGGCGCAGCTCCCAGGGGCCGTCCACCTCCCGGGCCCCACCTCTTTAAGGAAATCGGTGACATCGTAGACTCGCCCGTGGATCACCAGCCAGATCTCCTTCAGGGAGTTGCGCCTCGCCACCTCCTCCAATCGGTAGTAGGTGACGGCGGCCTCGCCCCCCTGCCCGTTCCCATCGCTGCCGCCGGCTGCCTCCGTCGCCATGGGGCCGGGGATTCCGCTCTTCGCCGCCGCTCTCCGCGTTTCCGAGGGTAACTTCCTCGGGGGGGGCCCTGGCGCTCAGCCCTGCCCGGCTTCCGTAACCCGGGCTCCCGGCCGTCGGGGGGCTCCTGGCAACAGCCAATCGCGATTCCGGAGAGTTCCTGGTCCGGTTTTCTCTTCGCCAATGAAGCACGGACTCAGCTTCAAGTCCCGCCCACCCCTCGGCCGCTCCTTGCGGCGTCGGCCTGGTTCGAGGTCCAACTAACCAATCAGGATCTTCTATCCCTCCAATCTCGCCAACCAGGTATCGCGATTTTGGAAATTCGCCTGGTGGTCCCGGGGTGGCGGGTGTTACGTAACGGAAGGTCTCCTTTCGCCCCGCGTGCGGGCCTGCGGGGCCGGGGGAGCCCGGGGAGCGGGGCCCTTGTGTCCCTTGCCCCGTTTCCCTTCGCCTCCCTTCCTTTCGCCGCGACCTGCCGTTCCCGCACCTCCTGTGCAGCCGGTATCCCAGCCCGGGCTTACATCTTTTGATTTGATTTGATTTTTTTTTTTTTTTTTTGGCAACCTTCAGGCTGTGACCAGGCGATCCCCATCCCAGTCTCCTTTTCCTCAGCAGTAAAGGGCGAGATGACCTTGTTTAGTCGATGAAACGAGAGAGTGTAAATGCACAGCGCTTGGCACACAGTGGTCAGCACCTGCATGACCCCGGTGCTAGGAAAGGGGGGGGGTCACCTAAGGTCACGGACAGGTGGTATCCCAAGTTTCCCAAGTTTCTGCCGCTACTACGACTGATTTTGGTAGACGTCAGTTATACCTTGAAGTTGGGCAAGGGGATCTGATTTTTAAACGGATTATCTGGTGATCGGAACATCGCTGTGCTATTTTCGTTTCTGTGCGTCCTAAGAAGATCCACCTCCGCTGTTCCCAGCTAGAGGTCCCCGCATTTTGGAATTCCAAGCTCGGTTGATGTGCAGTGTCGTCAGCTCCTCACCTTTAACTGCCTTTACAAGTGACCCATGACATGTAATGTGCTTTTCATCCTGTCACTCTCCAAGACTCGCCACAATCCATCCCCAACCTCTTTTACTAACGTCCTCCACCGTTCCTTTTGTTAAGACTCGTGTACCAGCCACTGACTCCTAGATCTGCTGGTTATAAAACCACTTCGGCGATCGCACCAGGTCCACCAACCCCTTCCTCCCAAAGCCTACTCACTTTCAAGCTCCTCCTGAAATTTTTTCAGAAACTCTCCTGCAGTCCCAGGCTCCAGGGGTTCCCACCTCCTGCAGCACCTAAGCATATTACTATTTCAGGAAACCCCCTGTATCTGTAAATCTTGACTTCCCAGATCTTACGTCCCAAATGAGACTGAAATTACGAGAGAAAACCCTGACAACCACAACAACAACAAAAATCTCAGTTTCTTCCGAGAAATCCCATACGATTGTTAGGATCTTCCACAAGCTAGATTCAAATATTTACGTTCATTTCAGAGATATTTACTGAACATTTACTGTGTCACAAGTACTGAGATAGGGAACATAAGAAATAAGCCTTCTGGGGGCGCCTGATGGGTGGCTCCGTGGTTGAGTGTGTCTACCTTTGGCTCAGGTCGTGTTCAGGGGTCCTGGGATCCAGTCCCTACTTCTCCCTCTGCCTGTGTCTCTGCTTCTGTATGTCTCTCGTGAATAAATAAATAAAATATTCAAAAAGAAAAAAAGCCTTCTGAAACAAAAACATTCACATATATATAAATTTAAGTTCTAGAAATAGAGATTCGTTTCGAATGTAATAGGAACACATATTTGTTAAATGAATAGTTCACACTTAACCCCAGTGTGCATGTGTCACCCGAGGAGGCTGTTTTAAAAATACAGATCCCCAGGAGCCTGAGTGGCTCAGTCAGTTAAGCCTCTGCCTTTGGCTCAGGTCTTGATCCCAGGGTCCTGGCTCCAGTGGGGAGTCTGCTGCTCCTTCTCACTCAGCCCCCCCCCCCACTTATCCTCACTCACTCTCTCTCAAATAAGTAAATAAAAGTCTTGAAGAATACAGATTCCTTCCTGTCCAAACATGAGAGTCTCTTCCTCACCTTGAATCTTGGTTTACTTATTACTTACTCTGACCAATAGATTGTGACGGAAGTGTGGCTGTGCAAGATATGGAGTTCAGACCTCAAGAGGCCTTGAAGTTTCTGTCTTCACCACATTAGACCGAGATCAAGATGCTGTGAAGAAGCCTGGGATTAAGGACCCACCATTTAAACTCTAGACTGAGCCCACCCCTTCATCAACTTTCAGCTGAGTGTGGAACACTGAGTGAGCCCAGGCTTACTCAGCAGAACTGCCCAGGCAACCCACAGAATCCAGAGACATAATAAAACATTGTTTTAACAACAACAAAAATGCAGATTCCCAGCCCCACCTCCAGAGATTTAGGCCTGGATATAAACCCAGAAATGAACATTTTTAACAAGCATTTGTGATGACTCTGATGCAAGTGATTTGTAGACAATTTTGGGAAATGCTGAACTTTTTCTGAAGCAGATATGTCTTTATCTCTCATACAATAAATTAGTAAAATTACACAGCATTTCCTTTACTATCTCCACCTTTAGGAAACCGAGTCCAATAGTGTTTGTAAAGACCCTAAGATGGTAGTGTAAAAGAACTTCTCAACAAAGGGAAGGGTTAGAGAAATATATTTGGAGTACCATAATATCAAAAGCAGGTTTTCTGAGACTGGGAAGAGAAAAGTGGTTTGGGATTCCTCCAGTAACAGCAACAGGAAACCCACAAGTTTCCTCAAAGGGACAGACTTGGAGAGGGAGGGGAGCAGGGGAGGCAAGAGCCCATCAGAGGAAAACGGCTACGTACTGTACACAGGGAGATCAGACCTTCTGTGCAGGGCTCCCAGCTAGCAGACTACTTGAGACCCAGTGCAGAATCTATCAGCTCCACAACAGAGCTTTTGGGAAGTGAGCCATGTGGCCTGAAGGCTAGAGTGCCCTTCCTGAATGTTTTGCACTATGTAAAACCCCTGCGGAGGAGCGAACTGCTCCCATAAATGAGTAAGACTGAATTTTTCATCATCGTGCCAAATGGAATTAGGATCACACTAACTTGTTTTTTTTTTAAGATTTTATTTATTTTCTAACTTGTTTTTTTTAATATTTAAATTCCTTTTTTTTTTTTTTAGAATTTCAAACAGGTTCAGTGAAAGAATAATACAATGAACTTCCATATACTTTTAACTTAGATTACTAACTGTGACTATTTTTCCATATTTGATTTCTTCCATATATATTTATTATTGCTGTTGTGAATAATGTTAGACCATTTCAGAACAGGTTGCAGACATCGTGACCTTCACCTTCAAATAATTCCGTATTTCCTAAGAACAAGAACATAGTCTTACATAACCCCAGTATGATTTTCTTCGTCTTCTTTTTTTTAATATTTTGTTTATTTATTCATGGGAGACACAGAGAGAGAGAGGGAGAGAGAGAGAGAGAGAGAGGCAGAGACACAGGCAGAGGGAGAAGCAGGCTCCCCTCGGGGGGAGCCCAATGTGGCACTTGATCCCAGGACTCCGGTATCACGATCTGAGCCAAAAGCAAATGCTTAACTGGTGAGCCACCCAGATGCCCTCTCCACCCCGGTGCCCCCCCCAACCCCCCCCCCAGTATGATTTTCAAATTCAAGGAATTCAACATTCATACAAATCCAGGATCACACATTGCATTTACTTATGTCTCCTTAGTTTCCTTGAATCAGGTACATTTCTTCAGTCTTTCTTCTACTTTAAAACATTTACATTGTTTAAAAGCATGACCTCTGGACACCTGGGTGGCTCAGGCGGTTAAGCATCCGCCTTCTGCTCAGGTTGTGATCCAGGGGTCCTGGAATGGAGTCCCACATTGGGGTCTCCGCTCAGCGGGGATTCTGCTTCTCCCTCTGCCCTTCCCCACTTGCTCATGATCTCTCTCTCTCTCTCTCTCTCTCAAATAAAATCCTTAAAAATATAAAAAATAAATAAAAGTATGACCTCAGATTGAATTTGATTCCGAAAAATAATGTGGCCTAACTGTATGATTATTAAATTCATAGTCACCATTCCTGCATGTTAGCCAGAAAGTCTAACTGGGAATCCCCATCCCTGCCACTTACAAACTTGGTTAATATTAGGTAGCTTTCTTGATCTCTTTTTTTCCAAGTGGATACCCAATTGTACCAATACCATTTGATGAAAACATAATTCCCCAATGAATTGTCTTCATGTTTTTCTTGAAAATGGATTTTCCATACCAGTGTGGGTCTTTTTCTGAACTTTCTATTCTGTTCAGTGTTTTGTCTATTCTAAGGCCAAGTCCACACTGTCTTGTCTACCCTAGCTTTGTAGTAAAGCTTGAAGTCAGTCAATGTAAATCCTTCACCTTTGCTCTTATTTTTCAAAATTGTTTCTGCTATTTTAGATCTTTAGTGGTTCCACATAAATTTTAAAATCAGCTTGTTGAACCAAGTAAGCAAAGTTAATGTCACCAGTGATAAGTCATGTGGATAGCGTGGTATGTGATAGAGAGAGCGCTTCATCACTATGTAGTCTTCCCAAAAACTCTTGATCCCAGTGGAAGCATGAGAAAAACATGAGACAAACCCAAACTGAGGCGCATTCTACAAAATACCTGACCAGTATTCCTCAAAACTGTCAAACTTATTAAAAGCAAACAAAACAAGTAAACACTTAGAAATTGTCACAGACCCAGGTGGACTAAGGACATATGACAACTAAATGCAATGTCATATCCAGGACTGGCTCCTACAACAAAAAAAAAGGACATTAGAGAAAAAACAGTGAAATCCAGAAAAAGTAATAGTAATGTTCCAGTGTTGATTTCTTAGTTTTGACAAAAGTACTATAGTAAATGTAAGATGTAAATATTATGGGAAACTGGGTGAGGGGTATAAAAGAACCCTCTGTACTATTTTTGGAACTCTTCTTTAAATCCAAAATTATCCCGGGATCCCTGGGTGGCGCAGCGGTTTGACGCTTGCCTTTGGCTTAGGGCGCGGTCCTGGAGACCCGGGATCGAATCCCATATCGGGCTCCCG